ATCGCCAATAACAGCACAGCTGAAAAGGCGCATAAAGAAATCCGATGGCTGAAGAAACTCCTCGTTTTCCACATCTCGCTGGTATATGTACTTGAGGACGCCATATGTCGCTGGCCATTTCGTCGGATTTTTATGATCATAGGCTTCTGGCCATTTGAGAGCCTTTCTTCTACTTACTGGCAATCCATTTTGTCTCTGGAAAGTATTGCGACTTGGCGTTTCCGCAGTGTCATTCACGTGTAATGTACCATGTGATCAACTATCTCTGATGGATGCTAGTTCTTCTCGAAGAGAATTTATTTCCTGTTCGTACCCTAATCTCATCGCCCTTATTTCGGCGAGAAGAGATGACTCCGCTATTTCTCTTAATCCCTCGGTGGCTACTCGATCATTACTCATCTGAGCGTCCATTGTCACTGTCTCAAGGTTTTCGAATTCCAAGGCTGTCTGAAAGGAGAGGCCGCTCTGTGAACCGACAGTTTCGCTAGAAGTTGAAGAAGGTATTGTATAAATTGTCATCCACTATCACTTCTATTTTTGTTTGATGATAACCCTAAGCCTCAAATAGAGGTCCGGATCTGCTCAATGACGGGTGGCACAAACTAAAAAGGATATAGTTTAAAATGTGACGATCCAAGCTGGTTGTAGTGTACTTTTAGAAAGATTAAACTATATGAAGAGAGAAGAATCACAACTACGGGCAATGACTATTTGTACATCCTTCTAGCTCATCCAGTACGTACTCTGTTGGTGAGATTGAAATATTGCTCCGCCACTGCCTGTTGTCATCTTTGCCATCTAGCTGACTCTCTCACTTGGCAATTCTACTTCGCCGTCTCACATTCCTTCCTAGCTTTAGTGTGATGTGGCCAAGTGAAACTTAGTTGCTTGATACAAGATAATATGTAACACTCTCCCTAATACGCCCCCAAACTCCGCTTAGGTCTCCGCCTAAGCTAAACCACGGTCAAACCGTAACACTCTACAACATTGCCACGTTTCCGGTGAAAGTACTGGAGCTCCATCTTCGAAGTATCAAAAGTGAACCCATTTTCCCGCCCCCAGGAGAGGGTTTTGTTAAGCTGAGTCTGGAGGAGACCGGCACACAATATTAGAGAGGTCGCAAAAGAGAAATGAGAGATATCATCTGCGTACCCAAATCGGCCGCGCGACAGTCGAAGCACTCCTTCGCATTCCAGGAGAAAGAGAATAGGAGAGACAGGAGAGCCTTGGGGTAGGCCACAGAGGATCTCGAACGATGAAGATGAGAACCCATCTAGGTGTATTCTAGCCTCTCGTTGTTCCATGAAGGAAATTACCCAGAGGAGCACGTTAGGTGGCCAGCCCTGATTCCGTAGACAAAGTGAGAGACGCCCTTTTTGGATGCCATCAAAGGCTCCTGAAACGTCTACTGTTATGATTCCTGCTACTTTCTTTTTATCCCAGGCTGTTTGTATGTCGCATGCTAGAGCTGTGGTGAGGTCTGTGGAGGAGCGGCGAGGGACTGCACTGCACTGGTCCTTGGCTAAGATCCAATGTTTGAGGGCGATGTACGAGAGCCTTCGAGCTATTAGTCGCTCGAGTCCCTTTCCTAGGCAGGAAAGAAGAGCTATCGGTCTATAGGATTTCGGGAGGGATAAGTCGCGGTTTCCGGATTTTGGTAGTATGATAACACTAGACTTCTTGAAGATAGATGGATGGGTCCCTAGCTGGTCGCATTGGCGAAACAACGCTATAATCCGCCTTCCTACTATTGGCCAGGCTTGTTTAAGAGCACCTATCGTGATTTCATCTGGACCAGGGGTGGTGGATGTTACCTGGCAGCATGATCGGAATATTTCCTCCTCTGTAAGCGGGGGGCATGGGAGACCTTTTCGGGGTACAGCGGGCGCATATATCGGGATATCTTGTAGGTTTAGATGGCGACTAAGAAGCGTGTCCCTGAAGAGCTTTACTTTTTCTATGGGAGTGACAGCTGGGCCATCAGGTCCGGTCAGGGGGGGGTATGCGAGCGGGTTTGCTTCTTATGCCAGCTGGTGATTTTGTATGTCTCGATGAGGTTGACTACTCCATCGATACTCTGTCGCCAATACTCACTCTTGGCTTTTCTAACGACTTTACCAAACAGATGACGTTCCTGTATGACCTTAGAATTAAGGCGTCTAGCGCGGCAGAAGTCTCGATGAGCTTTTGTACACTCTTCTGTCCACCATCTATAGCCCCTTGTTTTCTCTCTCGATCTAGGGCAAGATGCGCGTAAAGCGCCTGATATTGCTTCTACAGGAAAGGTAGCTTCCTATTCTGGATCTGTTAGAGAGGGGGAGATAAGTCGGTTTGAGATGACTGTGCCGAAGGCCTTCCAGTCGCAGGCATTATATCGAAGGCGGCCGAGAGCGGGAGCTTGGGCCCCTCTATCTGAAATTCTTGTGCAAAGAGTTCTGTGGTCAGAGCCAGCTTCGAGGTCTAGGCGAACTTGGCAGGAAAAATTTGGGCTCGTCTTCGCGAAGCAGAGGTCGATTAATCCGCCAGCGTCATGCGTTGGTACTCCGTATGGATTGAGGAGTAGGAGACCTTTGCCGACTGTCCAGGCGAGTAAAGATTCTCCTGCGATTGTATCGTTCCTAGTCGTCGGATCCCATACCGAGTAGTGAATATTGAAGTCTCCGGCAAGAATGTCTGGGGTTTCCGAGAGCGTCAAGAGTAGGCGCAGACCTTCCCCTGCGTCATTGGAGCCCGTGGGGGCGTTGTAGATGTTCCAGCAATCAATCATTGGCCTTCCCTTTCGCTGGATACAGACTCTTAGTAAGTCTCTCGATTGGATACTTGGCTGGAACGGCGAGAGGCCATACCCTTTTCGTGTATAGGAGTGATTTATCTTCCTGCCTCTTCTTTAATATGTGAGGGTCACTGTCACGTGACCTGGATCTTCCTCAACACAGTATGTCATGCAGACTTCCTGCCCAACTGGTGACCACTAACAGTCAGATGTGTTGAGTGTGTGTGTGTGTTTTATTGTGCTACTTGAGTCTATGACTATCTAGCACATTGGGCTCCTCTCTGACCCAGGCCATACCTTGTACAGTGCTCCTATCCTCTTTTGTTACTTGAAAGATCATTGATATATTCCCCTTGATGAATAGCCATTCAGCTCAGTATTTACCCGTGGAATTCAGCCACCTTTTCCACGGAACCTTCTACCCAAAAAAAATAAAAATGGTAGCAATGGAAACTGCGTGCGCGGGAAAAAGTCTCAAAAAAACCTGCAGCCCCAGCCAGGCGAGGCCTAGACACCGGAACCACATGAGGTGCGCATATTCATCTATATCTCCCTTCTTTGTAACATTCGAGGTCGACTTGATCCAATCCACCATCTCCGTATCGGGTGCTGGGTACGCTCCGGAAACACATCGGATGGCTTTTCCTCCATGATCAAGGGTGGGTGACGAGTAGGGCTCCGACCCTACCATCTGATCTGATCGTGGTTAGCTTCATGATAGTGGTGATAGGGGAATGTGTTGAGAGATGAAGACGATACAGACCGCGAAAGCGATTGGGAATCCTCTTCGAAGTGAGGACTTTGTTACTCAATCTCGGCTCTGCAGACTCTACAGTGAGAGCTGGAGGTTCGTAGGGGACACCACTGACAGGTGTTGAGAATAGTCCCCCTCAGATGTGTTGAAATTGGCGCTACTTGGCAATGAAGAGTCGCATTAATACGGAACGTAATAAGGTTCCATTATTACTAGCCACATTCATAACGACTCATACATTGACCAGCCTCCCAATTATTTAGCATAAACAAGTGAATTGAGTCCTTCACTTAGATGTAGTAATTAGTTTAAATAGCGCTCTGATACTAAGTGGGTTTAATCAACAACTCTCCACTATAGTTTTCAGACTCTTCAATATCCCAACTCGCTTCACTAGGTGTTATTAAATACAAGCTTAACAGCTTACGCTTCTCTATGCAACTTCCATTACAACAATATGAACATGTGACTCATACGTTATTTATCCCGTAATAATGTTTTATAAACTAGGTCTCAACAATTTATACACACATCTGAGGTAGCTAGATTCTTGCCATATTACTCCCAAAATAGTATCATGGTATATTCTAGTACCCTCCATCTGGTAGTATAATTTAGACACAACTTCCATACAGTGCCCCAATGTTCCTCTACTCGTCAAAGAATCACCAGCAAAATTCTCCCTTTACCCTCATTGATAACTACCCTTGCGCAGTGTGACCCTGGCTTCCAGCAGCACAATACGGATCAAATGGATAGAATCTGTTTTAGGAGTACGTTCAGTGCAGTGGAATATTTGCGGTGAAAAGTTGAGGCAGCGGAGGAGTCACAGTGCCAGTCATTCTGTGACATGGGAGCCATTGGCGATGGTAATAAAAAGACTAAATGATGTGAGCCTCATGCATTTGATGGCAGAGGTAGCAGTACCCTAGGGAGATTTTTATGTTTTTCTTTTGTGATGCAGGATTTCGCGAGCAAATTTTCTTTTCTTTTCTCTCCGAGCTGCCGAATTAGTGAAGATTCATCACATAAATGCGTTTCGGCATGATTCCGGTCCTGGAAGTGAAACTAGGCACTTGTACATTATGGAAGTTAACCTGATGAAGCCCGACCCCACTCGTGCCCAAGATCCCTTTGGAGTGCGGAGGGTGCCAATTGCCTACCACGATAATAAACAAAGTAAAAACAAAACTATCTTGACTGGAATAATTATTAACATGGCTTGGAACTTTCTATCATAGATATGCGCTACTCAAACAGAGCTGAGCTTTCGGTATTTGTCCCTAAGAATACGTGGTACGTCGATCTGGGAGATAATAAAAGACAAGAAGAGTGTGTTGAATGAATAACTGATCATAGTGTAGGAGGAAAAAATTATCCGACGGCTTTCATATTTGCATTCTGTTGTGAAGGAGTTACTCACGAGGTTCTAGTATCAGCTCTTGTCTTGACACAAACCACTACGCTGACTTATTCAAAGACCAAAGCTTCATAGTACTCACAAGGTTTCCAACCGGTCTCGACTTTTTTAAAGACTCGGTAGTAGGGATATTCAAAGTATGCTTGAATCAAGTAGGGAACGGTTTCTGGCCATAGACATGAACTTTTAGTGACGGCATGATCAGAGAAATGGAAACTAACCTCCATTATTTCCTACCCAGGCAGATCGGTGTGCCATATATGGCACCCCAGTCCGCCCCGTAGGATCACCGGGTTGCGCATGCGTATAATACCCGCTTCCTTCATCACGTTCAATGTCCTCTATGTATACACTTTGGCCCGGATCGCAATAAAAGTGTGACTTGTGTCCATCAGCTGCCGCTAACCATAGAAGACCAGAAAATGCGGCCACGGAAGCAGCGCTAAGATACCTCATTTGGAGAATCTCGTTTCACCGACCTGGACTCTGCACTTCAAGCAGCGAGCCGCTCGATGCTATTAGAGAGGCTCAACGTATGATGGATGACAAGATATCAAAGTGTTTTTGATGGAAATGTGTTGATAGTGTTCAGTGCCAATGTTTCTTTCGATGGCGTCAATGGAAGGTTGGTTGACTATCTAGATGATGCAAACTGGAGACAAAGACTTTGTAATTATATAGTTGAGAAAATCTACTCTTAGCAAATCAAATTTTACTCTTTGAATTAATTCACGCTGCAATGCGCGTGTTTAATTCCATGACAAGCTTTGCCAAGTGGGTAATTGAGCCAAGTCTTGCTTAATAGATGTATTTTTCAATGCTTATTTTACTTGTGCAATCTGAATTTCACCATTGAAATTGAGTAATTTTGCATCAGCTGCGCAATAGAATTGGCCTGTCTATCTTCTGGGCCTTCGGAAATTCAGCACGTCTCGGCCGTGTTCCCAGCTCCTGCTGCAGAGCTGCGATGAAGCATCGCTTTCCTCCTCCTTGGGATGAGGAATCCCAAACATTCAGCTGTTGCTTTCGTCTTGAACTCTCTACAAGCCGGAGAGACGAGATATTCATCTTCAAGTGGTGCCGATGTAATCGCTCGTAAATTGAATCATCTATTATACACTCCTCTGATATTGTGTCATAGCTAGATAGCTGCATACACAATTGAAATCTGATGGAAAAAATAAAGATGTAATCGCTCGGTATACTCTGCGTATCTGAGATTGCCAAAAAGATTCGTTTCCGGATCAGGATTGATGGTAAATACAATCACATTTAAAGTTGTCGGATTTCCAACAATATCGGCCTTATCATTCTCCCATGGGTTCTACGACTTAATCTCATCATTTGTCATCCCGCATTCACGACTAACGAGCTGCTCTAGTATGAAATGAGAGCTTATCTCATCAACCACCTGCCATCTCCCACTACAAATTACGAGGCTGAGTCTACACGAAAGGAGGAGGGTTAGTCACAGTAGGCAGAGCTTGAGTTTTGGTTGATGCGGACCGCAGCTCTAATGGCGCGCTACGACCTGAGGCAGTACAGGCAGCTAGGACGGGGATTGGGAGAGAAGAGATTGTTGAAAGTTTAATCTGTCCATAACTCTGAGCTTGATGATGGCCAGCAAGACGAAGAATATCATGATCTACTATTTAAGATAAAAGAGCAAAAAGAATTTAATTCGAAGATAAGACCAATGTAGAAAGGGACGATTAACCCAGACTAGGTATAGGCATTCTGCATTTGATTTCATTACCTGATTTGGCGCCATTTGGGCCCTTGCAGGTGGCTATAAACTCTATTTATAGTTATTTACACATGAGGGAAAGCTTTCGATAAAAACCCGCTACCCCTTCATGAATTAACTGCGGTCCTTCTTTAACCTGTAGGAAGTGCAAATGGCCGTTAGTCCGAAACAGGACTAGCTAAAGTTGTAGGTGACCTCGCCATTCTTTCCCTGCCCTCGCGTGTTGAAAAGAGATGACTGTGGTCTTGAGTTCGACCCTGATGGCGCAAATTGTTGAGGTGGTGGATTAACTAGGGGCTGTTTGCGCGGGCGTCCTGGCCCTCTTTTTGCGACCTCTGCCCCTTGGTTGTCTGTTTGTTTTGCCGCTGTTAATGTTGTAGTGGCCGCTGGTGTTAGTTCCTCTCTCCTCTCTCCTCAGATCCGCCGTTCTTTCCAAAAGTCCATACCCTGCCCTCTGGACACTGGCCTTGTGGGACGCGAAGTTTGGACACGCCCCCTTCTGCCACGATTTATGGGCTTACTGCAGTTGCAGCAAAGCACCGACTTCCTCGGGCAGTCTCTGGTCTGGTGAGTTCCCGCGCACTCACCACATCTTTTCTCCCTATTGCACGAAGCTTGAGTATGCCCCTATTGGCTGCAGTTGAAACTCTGCTTGACTTAAGCCCAGGGTGACCAGAGCTGGGCCGTATATAGCATTGAATTGGGTACAATGCCGTTTTTTTGGAAATATTGCGCAATGAAATGGGCGCAATATTCATGGAACGAAAGTAGAAGTTGACTAAAAGAGTGTCATGTTCGGACTACCGCCAGAAATGTGGGAGGTATGCGCTACAAGTGAGGTTTGGATGTCTCGTGGCTCCGACTACGACAATCTATATGTGTGTAGAGCTTGAGACTAGGTGTAAACTTGTATTTCTATTAACGTTCTAACTCCTCCTTAAATATATGAATTCCTCTATACTCCAGATAATGTAACGATCAATGATACATGACAAGTAAACTATCAGAATACAGTAGGAGAGGAGTGAGGTACTTAGCCGCCCGAATTGTGACCAAAGAATGCGAGGGGTGCATTCTTGATGGAACCTCAAACTCGGCAGCTCGCTTGCCGTGAGACTTGGCGTTTCGCTCGGACTTGGAATTCAGGATCCTCACAAGTACAAGTGTAAGCGACACGTAGCCTAAGCCACAGCATAAACGAGTGTGGCGCCGTCTAGGCATAGAAACCCCCCAATAACCTCCTTGCGCCCACACCACACAGCCGCTCATGTCTACAATACTTAGCCTGAAGCGCTACCATATTTCTCATTCCAACCTCTTAAATACACATAAGATCGTGTCGGGAACCTAGATGAAATGGAGGGCCCGTACGTCTACAACACTCTGTGTCTCCATTTCCAACACGTTTCGTTTCACCTCGCGTTGAAGAGCCTCTGTCAGCAAGCTCGCAATCACCGATCCTCGAGTATGACCATTTTTCTTCATCCGTAGGTGCTCCTTTCCGTCGTAAAGCCACCTTAACTCGTTGATTTAGATTCCAGGAATCCTAACGTTTGTCTCTGTTTTAATTTGGTAAATAATTCTGCCGTTGTCGGCATTCTTTCCTCCTTGTATCATTGCCCCAAGTGGGACTCCCAAAATTTCAACTGGATAATCCTGCTTTAAAACGCAGAACTCTCTTGGCTGAGCCATATTGAGGGCAAGGTATGGGTATTGTGAATATATATTATGATATTTATTTATATTTATTTTTTGATTTGATTTCATTAACCTGATTTGGCGCCCTATGGGCCCATGCAGGTGGCTATAAACCTATCTATATATTTTTATAGGAGGAAACCTCTCGCTAAAAACCTCCCCAGCTTCCTGATTTGTATCTTTGAATTTTACAATTTATCCTTCAGGAAGCACAGTTACACTGTAGTGCCGTCTGTATGTACCAATCACGTCCCCTGTAACGACCCCAACTTTGTGCCAGTCCTGCCTCGTTCCCTAATCAGCATTTCGACTGCATTTGTCATGCGGAATTGATCTATCCAACCGTGACTAAGAATCCATCGCGTTGTTGTTTTATTTCACCAGGATTGTCTATCATTGCTTCGTAGGACCGATCTTTGGCTTGTCTCCAGATCTCACCCCTACCGCTTGACCACTTAAGGCAGGACATGATCATATGCTTGGGATTTTGTGTTTGGTAGCCACACCGACAGCATGGATTGTAGACTCCTGGTACTTTTCTTCGATGCAAATACAAATTGAGCCCGATATGCTCGCTTCGAATTTGGATTGCTAAGCTAATTTGGGCTCTTGTCAGGTTTTTATGGAGAGTAAGAGGAGTTTTCTGGAAACTTATTCTTTGACGTCCAGTATGTCGGCATTGGTAGAACTTAGCTGCTTTCCAAGTTTTAGGGGCTGTTGACTTTGCTTAGGGGTAGACCAAAATTTCGCCCATTCTAGGTATGCTGCAATATTTAGCGCCTCTTTCTGTAACTCTTTAGATTTCTCCTCTCCGCAAATCTCTTTCCAGTAGGCAAGATCTGCTCTTCTATTATTTGCTCGAATATCTTCTCTCCCTCTTTTGGGCAGATTGATCATATTACATGCAGATTGAATAGCTTTTTGGACTGGTCGGGAATTGGAACGGCCTACATATTGTACCCTTTGTTGCTTCAAGTAAATTTCTATTGGAAGTGTAGCAATGTCGTGTTCCAGAACCCTGGTACTGGTCGATTTATATGCCCCTGTGACTAGTTTTAAGCAATTTCTTTGAGAACTTCGAAATAGTTTGACTATTCTTTCAGGTACTTTACCATTTATATTTATTTATATTTATATTTATTTACGTTTATTTATTTATATTTATTTATATTTTGTTGGAATTACTACGGTGTGGTTTCACGATCGATCGCAGTGATTCAGTTAAAGTTGTACGATTCTGTTTTTTTTTGGTTTTTTATATTAAAGTCCTAAGCTAAAGCTCTAGGTCCACTATCGGTACAAGACTGGTGGAGCCGGCGGGGATCACTGATTACAGGCCCAACTCATTCCAACCGCGAGTCCCAATACAGAATAAGTAGCAGGTAAATTATAACTCAGAAACTGTAATCAAAAACAAAAATCAAAACTAAAAGCCAAAGACTGAAATCAAATTTACGAGATTTTTTCATGTGGTCTGGATCCCGCGCTTCTCGCCCGTTCCCTTTCCTGTCACATCTTCCAAATGACAAATTTACTCAATCTCCGCTGAGAGCAATAGATGTGTTAGCAGGCACCTTTTATCCAGCCGGTATCCTGCTATTGGTTGGTAGATGCCCCAAAAGGGACATCGTCGAGGTTGCTGTGTCCTCAAACTTCTTCTTCAGCTTCCAGAGCTCCGAAACCTGTAGCCTCGGCCATTGAGACGTCCTTCGCAGCGGCGGTGATTGCCTCTTCGGCCCTTTTGGCTGCTGCTCGAGCTCGTGCCACCTTTGAGAATTCCCTTCGCTCGAGGTGGCGAATCCACGCGAGCTGCTCTTTTGTCACCGGTCCCCTACAGTTACGACACTTAGTGAGGGCCTTGCACTCGGCTTCCGAGTGCATATTTGATCCGCAGTTCCAGCAGGCTGGAGCGCGGGAGCAACCACGGGTAGTGTGGAAGCTCAAACAACGTTTGCACTGTTCAATTGGTCGATGAGGCTTGTGATGGGTAGCCTTATCAGACTCATCGAAG